ACTGCTTGGCGGCAGAAATAGGTAAAGTGGCAGTACTTCCTTGGACCAGCTCGTTCACAAGGAGCTCTACTAAAGACTTAGAATGTCTAGATATTTTTTGTCTACAACGTTTCAGATAATTTTGCAGACTGCATATTTTACAGACGGCAGCACATCAAGCTACCCATTGATGGGTCATGTACCGTTGCACTGGAGGTGATGAGCGCGTTCCCATTATGACATGACGACAGATAGTCGTGCAGTTTATGTCGTGACTTGTATATTTAAATGAAGTTGTTCACACAGAACAACAAGATTAACTGTCGTTCATGACTTTTTTGACGTTACGTTTTGACTACCGACAGTGATCTGACGATAAATAAAACGTCACGATAAAAATATGACGACAGATAATCGCAACTTCAAACGATTCTGTCGTGCAAACAACAAGGCGGCTGCTGTAAACCGACAAATTGTCGTCACGATCTAGTGGGAACACCGAAACACGACAGTCGTTCAACGATAAAATAAACGTCCACTAGGCAGTCACGACAGATAGTCGTGATATCTGGACAGGCTAGACGCAACTGTCGTTCAACGATAAATAAAACGTTACGACATGGGAACGCGCCCGTATTCGAATAATAGTCTGATGTACTGTTTAAGTATGGAATTATTTACCTCCTCCTATTCGCAATGTAGCTTCTTTATCTGTTTTCGTAAAAGCATAAAAGAATTTACGCTAATGCGACAAATAACATTACATTACATTACGGATTATTTGTTATTTCTATTGTGTTTTGTTAAATAGACTCTCTGGCTCCAAGCTGAAAATCAGCGCTGTGGCTCTCTGCAGCATTAAACTGAGCTGGCTAGTCCTTTTTTCAGCTATTCTTGTGTATTTTATTATTATTATTTGTTTAATTTAGATTTTTTGTATATTTTCTTTCTAATAGCCAAATAAATATATCTCTCTTTCTGTCTGTTGACTGTACAATATACACATTGTTTTTGCAACAGGAAGACCTCAATACCAAGGGCGTGTTATCTTGTTACCACAAATAAAAACATTAACAGTTATATTAACTTTAAAACAGTTTAACGCAGGGTGATAGCGATAGCCTTGATAAAACAGTTGAATAGTACTCGTTTAGATCTAGGTTTCGAAAGGGGAGTAATTGGAAGATTATAAAAAACCGACTTAGTAAAAGACGAGTACTAAAAAAGTTGGAAATTAAATTTTTCGCCGGCTACGTTATGTAGAGTCGCCTAAAATTATATTGTTGGATAATTTAAACTAATGAGGAGCGTCAAAACGAAAACCGATAAATCGCATTTTGACATTTTTTTTGATATGGTAATATGTTGTTTGTGCACATATCTTTAACTCTAATCAATCGAACCCGTTCAAGAAACGCTTGCATTGGTCCGCTTCAAAAACCTGCCAGAAATATAGTCATGATCTTAACGGAAACCTATAAATCCATTTAATTTTATAAAACCCTTTTACGATCCTGGAGGTCGTTCAGGACCTTACGATAGCTCAGTTGTCGAGTAATTTCTTTTCATTTTTATTCACAACACCCGAATCGAACTCAAACAGTCGTATTCGAAACCCAACCGAAGTGACGTCACACCCGTACGATTACTGGAACTTTTCGACCGGCAAAGGCTACAAACGTTGTTCAGAACACGGGTATCGAATGAAAGTTACCGAACGTCCTATTGTTTACAAAGCAACAATATAATATGGAAATCTCTTAATAGTAGGATTTTCGTTTTTCTTATAGTCTATTTTCACCGACAAACTCCGTAAATGCTGTTGTATAACGATATCGTATCCGATCTGAATGTTTTGAATAGCTCGGAAAACGCCCTTCGATTCGAGAACGATATCCAATCAAATGATACGGTTAAAATATCGAAGAGTTCTGAATCGGCTCTTCCAGAACAGACACCTACAAATTTTTCATACTTTATTATTTAGATTACGCTAAAAACCGAAATATCACTATTAATTTAAGCCTTTTTTGTTTCGTAAATAAATTTGAAAATAAATGTAATTTCTTACAATGTTGTTTAAATAAAAAACCGTTACGGTCATATAAAAAGACTATATCCTACTACATTTTATCTAATACCGATATATCCAAATAGTCTGTTCAAAAACCGTTAACTTCATTTTGTTTTTGTTTTTTAAATCTCGACAGATACTGCTCACCCGAATGTGATATTTAGGTTATGATACAGTGTTACGAATGCCTACAAATTGGCATGCTTCGTTTCTTCAGGAATTGTAAGAAAATCCTTTTAAAAAATTTGCTCACTTCCTAAAGCAAGTATTACTGGTTGAAAGGCACGCTTTCAATGGCTGGCGGAATTATTCACGCATGAAGACTTATTTTTATAAATAGCGCCTAAATTTTATAAGCAGCAATTATTTTAATGGTTGATTTTGCTATGATCCAATTGAAGGCGTTTTTCTTTCAATATACTTTAAGCAGTGAACACCGATTTTTATTATCTCCTGTGTTAAGTTCCGCATAGTGGCGAACTATGAGATTAATCCGGTTTTGCGCTCTTTCCGGTAACCGATTTCAATAAAACTTATCAAATAGATGTAATTCCTTGAAATTTTGAGGTCGGGTTGTTAAGTGCTCTGTACTGAGATTACTTTTTTCAATATTTAAAATAATAATTTGTCGTTACGGTTCTAGCGGCTTTTTTTCTGACGCTCCTCTTTTTATGTATGATTTATTTTTAATAAAAAAATAAGGGCACATTTGTCCTTCTTCGATTTTAGTAGCAGTAGAGGTCCTTGTGAAAGAGTTCGTCCAGAGTGGTACTACCACCTTACCTATTTCTGCCGCTGACCAGTAATGTGAGCATTAGTGTGTTCCGGTTTGGAAAGGTCTTGTCAATTTATATCTCAGGATGACGGACGCAGTGACAGTGCCCCTAAATCTTTGCCATTTGAAGCTCTAAGTGGCACTGCAACTGTTATTACTCACGACTTGTTCATCTCGTCACATGGTAATATAATAAAAAAAAATCATCTGAATTGATTTGATAGTGCATACACAAATCTCTTTTGTATATGTTTTATAATAGTCTTTCAGTTTTAGTTTTATATGTAAATTCTAAATTTAAATGTGTTTGTTTTTGGCGCCTTTTGTGGTGTTTTTCTAATAACTTATTAAAAGCTGTAAGTACATTCTTTTGGCGTTGCTCACTCGTTGTTAGGCTTCCACCCTTTACCCTTTCACCCATTGATATAGTCCGCTACAGGCAGATTTTTGTACGTTTGGTATTCTGCTAAAAGTTAAGAGCAGGGGCTTGCCAGTGCCAGCTATCGAGCTACTATTCAACTGCCATTGCAATTTTTTTGGTATACTTTTCAATGGCGAGTGGATGGCACGTCGATGGCGTAGTCAGATTCAGATTCAGTCTACCAATATAATTATTTACATAAAAGTATCAAGTCAAAATAGTATCAAGTACAGAGTACTAAAAAAACCAACCTCAAAAATCCCCCCGTCGTCGTCCCCTAGTTTGCCACCCTTTATTTATGACCACTTCTGAGGTACCCTTACTGCATTATACAAGACATTTATTCGCTGAAAAATGTAGTTAACAATGCAGGTCTTATATTATATTAGATCGTACATTTCACCAAAACTTGGCATGCACATTGTAGCGGCCCCATCATGAAATCTACACTCCATCTACCTTGTCATCATAACCAGCTCTCTGTGGAGCTATAGAAAGGCAACAGCGCCTGTAGTTTTAAGTAGTTTAAAATGTAATATAACATAATTGTAATTGTTTGCTTTTAGTTTCCTAACAGGCACTTTTTATATGTAATTTGTGACGTGTACCACCGCTCCGTTCGTCTTTAACCTTTCATTCAGCTTTGGTCTTTTATTCCTTATATTAGACCCATTATTTTCCTGAAACACATATATTTTACACAATGCTTATTTCACTTTAGACGTAGCATACATTCAAGTTAAATTAAAACAATTGCATAAACAAACTATAATAATTGGAATTGAACCAAAAAATAAAAAGTGAAAAAAATATATGCAATAGTTACATTTCATGTTATCAAGCAAAAATTCATTAATATTGTAATAGCACAAATTATGCAATTTCATTCTTAATTGTCTACAATTTAATTCTTTAACAGCATCCGGCAATTTATTAAATAATTTGGGTGCTAATACGAACATCGTTCTAGTGTAAAATTCCAAATTAGGGCGTTGTTTGTTCATCCTACTGCTCAGGTCTCCTTCAAGGGGGGTTTATAAAGTTACAAGGGAAGCACTGCCACCTTATGTATTTCCATCGTCAAGCAGTAAAGTGAGTAAGGATGCTGGTGAAATTGCAGACATACGGGACTTTTCAAATGATGTCTCAGGGTGACGGGTGCAGTGGCAGTGCCCCTTAGATCTTTGCAATTTCAAGCTCTCAGGCGTGTCGCTTACCATCTGGCGCACGATTTGTTCGTCCCGTCCCGTCACTCGGTATCATAATAATCTCTGAGAGTTCTAAAAAAAACCAACCTCAAAAGTCATTCATCCCCTAGTTAGCCACCCTTAGAGGTGGAATACTTTCTTCAAATTTAAATAAGACCACTTCTACTCCCTACCCCCTTTCTAACAAAAAAGAGTCATAAAAATCGGTTACAAATGCTGTTACCGCGTAACATTATGTACAGAAGTAAAAGTTAACAAACTTTAAAAAAAAATTCAACCAACTTCAAAAAACCATAAAAAGTCGCTACACTAAAAAGTTAAAATAACAAAATACATATTGAATTCAAACAACAACAATGCACGTAATACTTTAAATTAATTTTTGTCTTATTTCGTTTTGTACACAGCATTATATTTACTTATTAATCAATCTACATTTATGGTTATTTATATAATTACAACGTGAATTGAGTACCTCCTCCTTTTTTGATGTCGGTGAAAATACATTAAT